TTCCGAAATTTTAGGAACTAATAGTGTAAAGCGAGAGAGTGTTTGCTATAACAAGATTTTTTTCCCGTTGTGAAGTAGTGGGAGTGCTCTTGTCCTTGCAGGTATTCAAGAAGATGAACATTCGCCAGATCGTTTCAAAGGAGATTCGAGAAAGCAGAAATAAGTCCCACTCATCGCCTATTGCTCTCATCGGTGAGTCGCACATTCGAGTCGCGAATATTCCATTCCAAAAGATATTTATGTACCTCGCGAGTACTGTACGCTTCAGGATGCGGTCCGGCATCAATTTCATGCGCCTCATTTCTTGCCAGACTTGGTTACACCGACGTTACAATATACGAGAAGCAAAAGTATATTGGAGGATTGAGGTATACCTCCACTCATTCTTTGTTTCGTTCAGGTTTAGTTAATACGCTGAAGTAAAGGGTCCACTGGGTGAGCGCAGCTTCCTTTCTTAGGAGATAAGCGACTAAACAGCGGCACAGTCTGACGCTCACTTTCATTGACTCTGTATTTTCCAGTTCCTCAGAAATACCGCAGTTCCGTCTACCATACTCAGTGGTCGATTTCGAAATCCAACTAGCACGAGATATTGGAGTAAAGATTGAGACCGGACGAGCACTTCACAAATCAGACCTTACTGTTGAAAAACTGAAGGTATGTTTTGCAGTATACCGTTTTCCTTTAAATGAAAACGATTAGTGATCATCTTGACATCACCTGATAGTTGACGAATCATACCATACTAGTTGATGTACCAGGAGATCGAGTTGCGGTATTGCGACAGAGCTGGTGGCGTGAGTGCCGGCTCCAAGACCTGTTTTATTAGGTTGTCCGGAAAGTTCTGCAGGTTTTGAGTGTTTAACTTTAAACGATCATAACTTTCTTAACACTCATCGGATTTAATCCAAATAAGCACCATTCGAATCAGCACACTTTTGCCAATGTGACAGCAGTCGAGAAATCCCATCAAAGAAAAACTGGGTGGTCGAGAATCCACGAAATCTACGAAGGTCTTTTTTGCCTGGTCCTAATTGATGAAGTATTTTTCAGCAAGGAAGTTCTGAAAATGTTTGAAAAGGTGATAGTCGGTTGGTGAAAGGTCTGGAGAATATGGCGGGTGAGGTAGAACTCAATGGTCAGGGCCAATGGTAGAGCTTCAACCCCCGAATATTCGTTCTCAATTTATGAATATTGAGTGTTGAAAACAGTGTGGGCTGGCGCTTGTTCATGCAAAGAGAATCAGACCCTTTCTTTGATAAGTGCTGCTGGTCGGATCGCTTACACAGTAGCGGTCCTGTGGCGGATGAGTTTTAGCAATGGTAAAAAGTTATAGTAGATCACACAAGCCGATGACCACCAAGCCGTGACCAGAATCTTTTTTTCATGAGGGTTCGGCTTTAAAAATTGCCTCGGGTTCGTGGCGCAAATCCAACCACTGTCCGGAACGTCTCCTTTTATCACACATGACCCATTTTTCATCACAGGTGACAATTCCTTCCAAAAACAGGTCGTTTCTGCTGCGCAAAAAGCAGTGAAGAAGGAACCTCGAGACGTGCCGATTCCTGCCGGTCACTCCGATTGTGGGGCACCCAATTGTCGAGTTTTTTCACCTTCCCAATGCGTTCCAGACCATCTGCAACAGTGGATTTGCCAACGCCTAGCTTTTCTGCAATCTCTCGAACTGTTTGGGATGGGTCAGCCTTCAAAATCCCCTTAAAATCCTCGTCAGATATTGCTTTAGGTCGACCGCTATGAGGTTCATCTTCAAGGCTGAAATCTCCAGAACGAAATTTGTTGAACCATTGCCGCACAGTGCTTTCTCTAGCACTATTGGGCCCCCACACCTGGTTAATTTGTTGAGCTGTTTCGATTGCGGATTGCCCCAATTTATAGTCGAAGAAAAAAATCGTCCGAAGTGCTCTTTTCACATGCTTGAAAAAATCTTGAAAAAAGGGGTTCATCAAGCAATGGTGAAACGGCAGTTATACCATCAGATAGCGCAAAGAATTCTCTTCAGGATGTACTACTGAGACGCAAGGGAGAATGAGTTTTTAATCAGCAATGAATGTGCAAAAAATAGTAACACAAAAACTGCAGAACTTTCCGGACAACCTAATATTTGACGGAATCGTCTTCCAGTTAGTTGAGCACTATAAGTAGTGAATGCCGCACGCGCAGTTTCTACGTACGGTCGCAAGTCAGATCTCCCAACCTAGATCCCTGGCGGGCTGGTCGAGCCAAGGATATCGGTGCTTCCTGCAGCCATTGGGCGCCAGGTCCGAGTAGGTTTTAAGTGGAACCAGTATGAATGGGATCAGAACTTACTAGATGGTGTAGGTTAGGGACTCCCGACGACGATGTCACGGCCTTGCCGGCGCGGCGATTGCATTTGACTATTTTTGCCAGGCGAGAGCCAACAATGTCGTGCGATTAAAGATCCCGCGTCCCGTTCCACGGTAGTTCTGGCCATCACGCGCGAATCTGCTTGGGAGTTTTTCCAACGAGCGGTACTCTCAAATGCGACGACAGTATTTTTGACATGGCAGCTGGAAATTAATTACAACAGGAGTTGCAGATTATCTATACAAAAGAACCTACTTTTACCACTGGCCAATCTTACCTATACAATTATGTTTTACAATTGAGGCCAAAAAGAAGGATTCACCAGAGCAGGGGCGTTTCTTTCGTAAGGTTACTGATGCTATTCTCCTAAATTACTATTTCTATGTTAATGCGCGCGTCTGTTTTATACTAGTAGTTGAATAATCGCCCATTCAGTTTCAGTAGCCTTCACACCATTGCAAAACGAATCACTGTAATAAAGCAAGACGGTTGGAAATCTCTATGAAACTATTGCAACTGCAAAAATTACACATACGAAAGCATCAGAGAAGAGCACGCTCACGCGCAAATGGGGCAGGCTGACCTCTCACGGGAGTCGCTAACACCGATCTCCCTTACTAGATGAACAGATGCCAATTTGAATCTCACAGACTTGAACTGCGAGTGCTCCACTCAAACAAAAGAACTCTACTGTACGCTGATACAGCCGCTTTGAGTTGTGTAACGCTGCCATTAGGAGAACAGGGTTGACAGAAAGATGCGCTTTAGCACCTCATCTGAGACAGCAGCTAACTGGCCGATCGTCTCATCCTGAGCTAACTTTTACTCACACGCAAGTGGACAATATACACAGATCAATGAATTATGGACGTATAACCCTCCCTCCAGGGCAATTCCCTTACGGAGCGAAGGCGATCTTCATTGGTATTGGCATGCCTGAACCAAAGAAGATCGGCGTTTTCAAAGGGTTGGATCAAAGCCATGGATTCTTTACCAGCAAAGATTTCCTGCCAATGGTCGCAGCTGCCAGCAAACCGGGTATTTTTTTACTGCAGATATTTGCAGATGTTTAAATGGAATAAGGATAAAGGAGTTTCATGAATTAACTTCATAGGTATGTGCGGATGCTCGAAAAATCCCCTCCCTGCTCTAAAAGGACGTGTCATTGTACTCGGTGCTGGTAAGTATTGAGATGACAAAGCTTAGAAGAGTGATTTGAATGAAACTAAATTTAACTGCGCTGCAGTAAATCCTTCTTACAATACCTATCCAGTTTTTCGATACGATAGTAATAACCTCATTCCAGGTGATACTGCGTTCGACTGTGCCACGTCCGCTCTACGATGCGGTGCTTCCAGGGTTACCGTTGTATTCCGTAAAGGATTCACTGGAATTCGTGCTGTGCCAGAGGAGGTGAATACACGCTTTCGGAGTTAATTTTTGGTTCCAATAAGTCTAATCAAAAAAACCTGATGATTACGTTTCCCGTTGGTCAGTACCAGTGATTTCAAAAGTAGAACCACAAAGTCCACTAAAATACATGAAGTACACCCCTCCCCCCTCTTCAGAGGAGAACTGGGCGATCTAGTGAATCTCAAGTTCACGAAAAAAAATCTAGAAGGTGGTAAGAAATCTGAAAGGTTAAGCAGGTTGTAACTTCAGATGGAAGCAGCCCGAGAGGAACGATGTGAATTCATGCCATATTGCTCTCCAAAAGCCGTGAACATCAAGGACGGTCGCATTGTTTCAATGCAGTTTGTTAAGACAGAGCAGGACTTGGATGGAACATGGTATGTACTGCCCAACCACTTCTACTTCGAATGAAATCAACAATTGACCTTAAAACCGTTTGCAGGTACGAAGATGAAGAGCAATCGCTCACCCTCAAGGCCGACTACATCATCTCTGCTTTCGGCTCAACACTTCTTGATCCTGATGGTTTGTTACTCACCAGTATCCATTTAACTAGTAACCCCCTAATGATGAAAAGTTTGTGAGCGGAGTTTATCCTTTTGAGGAACGTTAACTACCAAGTAGAGTAGAAACCAAGGGCTAGAAAGAGAATAGGGTTCAGTTCCACGGTGTATACTCAGATCTTCTATGGAGCATTTTTGAGGTTTAGTAATATTCCAGTATGTATTAGTTGATGGATGACCTTGAGTACTATCTGTATTAGTAAAAAAGTCCGATTCGTGAGATTTGAGTTCAGCGAAAAGAACGCTCGCCCTCTGATTCGTTCCACTTACAGTAGCTTGAGTTGGAGGAGTTGCGGCGTGTCAGGCAAAAGGGCTTGTTGAAGCGGGCAAGCGACAACGATAGGTGAGAAATGGACTAGCGCCAAACCCACCCCCCCCCCCTCCCACCTCGACGTACACGCTGTCGCGCTCACCTGCTTCTTGAGGCGGCGTAATGTGTCGAAGTTAGCTTGAAGCCGGCGGACATTCACCGTATGTGGTTTTATAAAAGAGTCAATAAAATATTTAAAAAGACATCCATGTTTGATCTTTCAACTAACTTGTCTTGAGAGAAAAGACTTATGACTTTAGTGGTGAGGGGTGACTAACTCTAGATAGCACCTCTGAGTACAACAGCGAACGGCTAGTGATCAATTAAAAGCAGTGGGCACGATAGCGGGGGCGGGTGGTTGCTGCCAACGTCACTGGTGGAAGGGCTGAGTGGGGTGTGGCCAAACGCTTTTTTGTAACTCTTCCGCCAATAGCGTTGGCAGTAACCCCTTACCCCCAGTCATCGTGCTCACTGCCTTTGAGGAGGAAAACAACCAGTGGTTAAAAGCTGCCAGATAGGTTCTTTACAACGCAGCCTGACAGCCGGGCGCTATGACTGATGCGCGACGATATAAACTGCAAATGTAGACTGCAGGAGAAACCTGTTCACCGTTTGTCTATTCCAACTGCTGGCCACGCAGTTCCATCAGCCTTCATGTGCATGAGGCCTGATACGGTATTCGTAGCAGTCACTCCATCTGCTCCTCCCTCCTTGGCGGCTCGAGCTATGGCACGTATATCCGTGATATTAGGGGTCATCTTAGGGAAGAATGGTATCTAAAAGGACCATGTAACGTCGTTTAATAAATTTTTAGAACCACATCT